TATCCTACATGTAAAAACTTACGTATGTCAGTTTTTCTTTTTGAATTTCAGAAATTCAAATCACGCAACTTTTGATTAATTTTTTCTGCATCTTATCTAAAGTTTTACAATGTTACAACACAAGTACTAAACAAGACTGTAGCAATGCTGATGACTATTGCTTCGATAAAGTGTTCGTTCCGTTTGCCAGAAATTTAAATTGTAATATCTATGACGTTAGAGGACCTCCCTCTGATCCTATGCCACCGCCAGATTATATCAATTACTTGACCAAACCTGAAGTTATGAGCGCAATTGGCGCAAAGACACAATATGTCGAATGTTCCCAAACAGCCTATTTAGCTTTTACAAATACAGCGGATTTGCAAGTGTTATTTTCTTGTACAAACTATATTGCTGGTCACGTGATGATTGATTATTAATAATTTTTAAAAAATTAACAGTGCACGAACCTCTATCCCCACTTTGAGCTATGTTATTAATAGCGGTGTTCGTACTTTGCTGTATCACGGTGATGCTGACGCTAATTGTAATTGGTAAGAATTTATACATTATTATAAATGGTATTATCATTTTTAAATTAATATTTCCTTCTAAACTAGGATTGGTGGACTGAATTTAACTAAATCTATCCCATCGAAATACCAAAGCCAATTTAATTCTCAGAAATTACAAAATTTTATAGTCAACGGCCAAACAGTTGGTCAAGTTCAATCTTCACATCATTTATCCTTTGTAAATATTTATCAAGCTGGCCATGAAGCACCATTTTATCAACCACAAACTTCATACATGATGTATACTCGGTGGATATCTAGACAGATTTAATTTATATACACTATTTATTATTACTATTATTACTGTAACCGTAATTTTAAATTTGCAAAGTTGACATTACATAGACGATAATTTATGTTACATTTAAATCAGTTAAATTAGAAAATGATGTATTATGCATATAAAGATGACTCAAATCACGTAAGATTTCCACCGTGATACAAACTTAATTTTGAATTGTGCAACATGCAATCATGTGATAGTATTTTTTTTAATTTTTTACGATAGAAAATAATACAAATTTTCGAAATAACATAAATGCTATAATTATTTAATGTAAAAATTTTAGCATGACTTTAATATAAAGCACTTTATTTATTTATTTATTTATTTATTTATTTATTTATTTATTTATTTATTATTTATATTATTACTTTTTATTTTAAACTTATTGCAGTATTAAGCATGTTATAATAATATTATTATTGTCTTTGTCTTTTAATATTCATATGTGAAGGAAGTTGCATTTATGCACCTTCTTTAACCCAATTATTAGTATCGAACTCATCCATTCTTTGGACCTCTCGAAGGACTTGTGATAGTTAATTTCGAACAGTTTGTAAACTGTAAATATTAAGATTGTTTAACTTTTTGTCATTTCTTGAATTTCATTAACAAGTTGTTACCGAACAAGTTGTAATTGTGATTGCGATTGAAGTTGTAGCTGTGATTGTGGTGGTTGTTGCGATGGTGGTTGTTGTTGCGATGGTGGTTGTGATTGCAATTGTAGTTGTAATTGTGATTGTAATTGTAATTGTGATTGTTGTATAATATAATTTTGGTCAGTTAAAAATAATAAATATTATAGGATAAATATGCTTATAAGGAAGCAACCAGTTTTGAAAGTTATTGCAAGTGCAAATAAATTGTTTTTTTAATTGGTCTTGAAATTCTGTATTCCTTTCAACTAAATAATTAATACTAGTTCTTGAATCAGATAAAACTATCTAGTATTATCCAACAATAATTTTAGTTATTTTTGGAATTAAACTTTTTGCTTGTTGCTTGTATTGTTTAATTTTTTACTCCACTAGCATTATCCATTTTGCACAAACTTTTGCTAATCTCTATTGCTATCAAGTGTTACTATTTTTATTAATATATAGTTTATAAATAAGAATATTTTTATAATGATTATGTTTTTGATTAAAATTATAAAATTTGAATCTTTTATATCAGAATTCTAGCATATTTGTTATATTTATATTATTATAAGAAACATCTAATTGATATGTTTTTTTTTATGTAAAAAACAGACATGTCTTGTTTATATTTTATTGGTAATAATTAAACTAAAAATTACAAAAACTCTTAACAGCTAATTTCTATCTAAACAAATCAGCTCGCCAAGCCAAATAGCCCAATATAATAGTTGTCTAGTATTTTTTGATCTCTCATGGGTCCCTAACTTTCTAGAGACTTGAGTTTTCAGTTCATCAGCTGGGTTTTACATGTACCCATATTCATATTAATTTTTTTTCAAAAAGAAGAAATACTAACACAAATACAAAGAACAAACAAAACAAAAAAGGTTATACCTCGATATCTAGATCCCAATCCACTTATAACAATAAATAAAACTAAATAAAATAAATACAAAAACAAAACAAAGAAAAGAAAAGAAAACAAAGATAGTACTATTAAGCTCATATCAGATTATAAAAATTATATAGTACTACTAAATAACTAGTTTAAACTTAATATTAGTATTTATATCTATATCTAGAATATAAAAACTTTGTCAAAACTATTCATTCTGAGTAGAGATCCAAGTTCAAAATTTTGATTGCATATTACAAGAAAACTTCTACAATATATTTATATTCTTTATATTCTTGGGCAAAGTTAGCAACTTATTGTTTGTTCTGAGAGAAGCAAATCTAGTAGTCTCAGTATAAATACTATAATCTCTTGAGGAATGATGATCTAACATTATTTATTTCAAAACAAATATATATATATATATATATTTTTTTAGCAATAATTATTATTGTTGATTCTTTGATAAGATATACTATTACAGTATCATAGTCA